CATAGATAGAAGCAGCAGTAAAATGCACCTGTAAACCTGGTTATACCAACACTGGTAGCACCGTGAACGTTGTATGCAAAGGTATGATGATCTCGGATACAATTAGAAACATTTCCTCGTCATTTTTATCTTTCCAGATAGTTGCACTATCAAGAATGGAGGTTGTGGCCCACACGCCACTTGCTCACATCATGCTAATACACATGCAGTAAAATGCACTGATAAAGCTGATTATACCAACAGTGGATCGGCATCGGAAGAGATACGCACAGATACAGGATCTGCATCGGGAGATATACGCACAGGTACGGTATCGGTCTCGAAGAAGAAGAAATATTTTGCTGTTGCATTCTTGTGCTGTGCGAAATGTTGTCTTGTATTGCGTTCTTCATCAGTTCATCTATGAAATTAATTCTCCTTTTACTCTCACAATGCAAGTTTCTTCTAAGAATCATCAGATTATCTTTCACTCCTTAACTACGTTTTTCTTTGCATATAAGCACGGACGTCGCCTGTAAGAAAAGCGTATTGGTATGAAATAAGAAGAATTAGTTATAGCTGGAAAAATCGCGGTCTACTATATTTTCTTTAACCCTACGTAGACGTTGTCACTTTGAAACTATGAATGCTGTGGGGTCCAAGTGGACCCACCCATAAAAAATTGTAGCAAATCGATACTTTTGTTTTGAATCATCTAGTCATTTATGTACTATAACCCTCTAATTACGTCACTCACAAATAGGTGTGTTACGTTCAATAAAGAATATCCAAAAGAGTGATTGATGCATTTTTTCAATAGAATAGTAGAAATAAGCTCGTATACCGACATACATAATAAATAGATGTGCGAAGAAAAGACATTCGTCCCTTTTTCAATAGCTTTATTTTTATCTTTTTCGTTTTTCCATGATTAAAAAATCTACAAGAGTAGTTTTTCTGGCGGGTGTCCCAAAGATCATTAAGTCATTCATAATTACTTCGATGTACACCAGATTGAATCAATAATCCAATAAAAGATTCTAATTCTATACGATCAACTGATTTCCAAAAATGTGAATCTGATCGTATGTTATTAGAATCTTGTCGTGGTGTAATCTTTTTATCATAATATCGTTTAGCATAAAGATTTGTATGAAAAACAATTAGTTCAAGCATTTCATTTGTAAAGAAAATTTTAAAAGCATCAAGAATTGTCTGAATTTCAATAGTAGAACCAGACGTTTTTTCATCACGTTAGCAGCAGCTGTACGACTTTGTTCTAAGTTTGGATATATAGACCATATGGCACCATTCTTTTTTAATGTTTCTGGTTGACTAACTGTAACAACATCACCATGCTCAAAATCAGAATTTGATAAATCAGATTCTTCTGATACATGTTCACTATTAGAGGTATCATC